TGTTGGTCATTAGGTTTAATGCAAAACAAATCGATCTACAAATGTACACTATTAATGAAATAATACAACACAGTGTAATGATTATCTGAAATTGAAGTTATTTTATATTTTGGTATACGACTTCAAACATGGGACACATTTTGGTTAATGCTACAGTACAGTAAGAGAGACTTTTTGGAAACTGTTTGCAAAAAGGTTCAAACGAAAGCCTGGTACGTATTTTCAGTATTATTTATAGGGCGAGCCCTCTCTATGAACAAATCCAAGTTGGAATAGCCGTCCGTTCCGTAGGTCAGGCCACACCGACATAATTTTATGGATGACATCCGCGCGCGAATTGATTTTTGCCTGTTCTAAAAAAAAAAGAAAAAAAAAGACCACGTCCTCCGAGGCTCTGGCCTGGGTACTCCATGGTAGTTAGCGACAATACGGAGCCGGTGGTAACTCTGGAGGATGGCACCCAGGCCGCCAAACCTCTACGACTCAAGAACTCAGTACATACCTACAGTGACGATTTACAAAAACCGCAAAAAGCCGACATGTGGCTTGTATACGTTGCTATGTACTGCCCCAAATTCACAATACCAGCTTTGCATCCCTGTGGTTTAGTTGCATTTTTTCGTTTTGATCGGAATACTTTTTATTCGCCCGCGCGCACTACTAGTAGTTACCGTTTGGGGGTCTTCAGAGGATGTTAGCCTGATTAAATCGCTTTACGGTTGCCGGCCGTCCGCCACTAAAGCCGCGGACGGCAGAGTTTGCGTTACGCAGACTAAAAAAGAGGATGTCATCCATAAGATAAGTCGGTGTGGCCTGATATAAGCCTTAGAGCAGATTTAACCGACGTAGTGCTCGGGTGCGTGCACGGCCCCGGGCACCACCATCACACAGTCGCAGGTGGGGCAGCCGGAGGCGTCTGTGCCGTGCTGGCCCGTCTCACACGGCTCTACACAGGTCAGGGTGGGACAGTCCAGCACAGGCAGGCAGTTTGTCGTGCAGTACTCACAACCGTCACCGTCCCTCAGAATCTACACACAGAATACAAGGAGGAAAAGTTATTACACAAGGTTGTTGTGGGGTCGTGTGTAGTAACGGCAGAGTGCTCGACTCGGAACCTAGAAATCCGGGGTTCGAGTATTGGCATACCACCGATCTTATGCCCGTTGGAAAGACACTTTACAGAACTTTCTAAAGTGAAAAACTGCGTCGACAAAAAATGTGCCAGTTTACTTCAGGCAAATCATGCAGTAGAGGAGGCAGAGACAATGCTCGTGTGTATACTCCCCTTTTAATTGTCTTAAGCCTGAGTCTGAGATAGCGTGGGGAATGAACTAACTCTACTTTTTACCTTTATCAAGATGTTTAGATTTTTTGTAGCTTGAATGTGTAACGTTCTAGCCATGTAGAATGTCCTTGATAATGGGTTTGTTCACTTATTCTAAAACCGAAGAGTGTCCTCGTGGCCTAAAATATCTGATATATAATGACATATCTCAGGGCTAAAACGATTAAAAGGGGAGTATATGCACGAGCACTGTCTCCGCTTGTTCTAGTGTATAATTTGCCTGAAGTAAACTGAAATATTTTTTTGTCGACGCCTCAGGGTGGATGCGTTCCTCGTTGTTTTACAGTGGATTGAAAAAAAACAACAACAGCAAAATATCTTTTGGATTGACTTAAAGTCAGACACAATCTAAACAAACGCCACTTTACTTTGTTGTTTGTAATATATAGGAAATGTATGGTTAATCATAGCCTGGATGCCTGACCACATTAGGCCAATGTATCAAGTGTGCATACTTTAACGCATTTTATATCAAATTGTACCCTCTATAGCAATGAACGAAATGAACTCTTTGACTTAGTCTCCAAATCCTACCCAAACTTTCACGCATATACAAATGAAAAGAAAACTACTCTCCTCCTAACATCCGAAAACCCACAAATTATAGAAAAAGTGGGATCATTTGTCTTCCTCTGTCTTCAAAAAAGAAGTCAAACCCAGTAGTTTTTCTACTAGTAGTCTCTTAATAGTTATCAGTAGTTCTATGTGTACGTATTACTTGTTTTTATACAAATGTTTCTTCTGTTCATGCAATTAGCCTTCGGGCATGAATTTGCAATAAAACTTTCCTAATTGATTTAAGCCTAGTGCGCTGCGGGGTCTGGTATCCAGGCTAGGTTGATCATTGTTTCAGTATCCTTTCTAACAACAACGGATTTTATTTGACTGTTGTCCACCTTCAATTGTTCAGCGGCTTCACTAAATGTTATCATGTCATGTCCTGTGTAAATGTATGCGCTGGGATCCATTGGAAACTCCTACTAGCTTAATGGGCTACCCATAGCCTCCACCAGGCCTTTCTACGGGAAACCAGGTCGTAGAATTTGACAAAAAAGAGAGTAAAATTGGCCAAGGAAGTCCGGCCGCGGTGAGGTAGTTTCTTTCCCTCCTGCGTGGCCTGTCAAACCTACAAGGCGGCCAAACTCCCTGGCAAATATTATCCAGCGTACTAGTAGTTAGTCTGGTAGAGACTTGGCTACCCAGCCATTTTATGATGAAATGCAGGTAGATAAATAAAGGTTATTGACCTCTCGTGTTTGCCCGGCTGGGCATTTGGGGCACTCCCGGAGGGGACAGGGCGTCTCGCACTGACAGATGTCACAGCCGAACTCGTCCTTGGCATACACGCCGCCGGGACAGGCGTCGTTACAGTTGAGCTCGCTGCACTCACAGTGGCAGGTGTCGCACCCGTACTGGTCCTTCGCGTACCTGGGGACGAAATAATGTTTAATGTTTAATGAAATGATAATAGTCTTCGACTCGGAACTAAGAGGTCCCGGGTTCGAGTCCTGACATGCCGCCGGGACAGGCGTCGTTACAGGGAGGGAGATGTAATATATATGCTATATTTTCTCGCGAGCAAATGTCGGCCTTCGTAGCTTTTTTAGTAATTTTCATTCAATAAAATTTATCAGAAATAGGACCAAACATCTATGAATATATAACAGCTCTGTTACTCTCTCTCTCTCTCTCTCTCTCTCTGTGTGTGTGTGTGTGTTTGTGTTTAACGTTGTAACGACTTATGTAAAAGATGCAATTGCAAAGGAAAGGTAGAAGGCAGGGAGGACAGTGGGCAGATTTTGTTAATGAAAAAAAATACAAGTTGGTAAAAAAAAATCTCGACTAGAAACGATGGAGAACCTACATCTGATTAGGGCAGGGCAGGCACTTGAGTTGTGGGCATGCGCAGCCGCATGTCTGACAGCCGTTCTCGTCCGAAGCGTACAGATCTCCCGGGCACTCCATCATGCAGAACACCTCATGGCACACGTGACCGGTGTGCGCATGCATGTCGGTAGACTCGGCCAACTCCCGCGCGGGGACTGATGGGAAAAATATGATATGATATGAATCTTTTTATTTTTTTAAATCTTTTTAATTTTTTTATTATTTATTTATTGATTTCAACACCAAAAAGCAAACCTTGCAGCAGGGATGAAAATCCCTGAATTGAAAGAGTTGGCGTACAGAAAAAAAAGTTGCAATAGGCAAGGCAATATATACACACCCTCATATACAATATAATACAGAAAAAATTTGTACCAAGCAAAAAAAAAACTATATACAGATGAGGTTTAGGAAATATAAATCTAGTGCTATGACAGTTCTTTGTTGTATAGGGCTATGGCCCTGTGGAGAAAGGACTGCTGGAGCCGCGTTGTCCTGGCCCTGGGAGCACTCACGGCCTGGCTGTTCCTGGCTGAACATGCAATCTTTATTGCATGTTCTTGCCCACATGGGCTAAATGCACAAGAGGACATGCAGTATCCAAAACATGAGTATTGCATACTGGAACGCTATATTCTAATGTATGATTGGTCAATTAATGGATGATTTCATAACATGTTTGATACACGTGACCCGTGTGCGCATGCGTATCAGTCGGCCAACTCCCGCGCGGGGACTGATGGGAAAAATAATGATTGGTCAATAAATGGGTGACGTCATTACGAGGACTGATGGAAAAATGATATGATTGGTCAATGATTGGGTGACGGGGACTGATGGAAAAATGATATGATTGGTCAATGAATGGGTGACGTAATGAGGAGACTGATGGGAAAATGATACGATTGGTCAATGAATGGGTGACGTCATGGCGTGTTTAGTCTAAAGAAGAACACACCACCCTTGGCAAATAAAGTCATATTTATCAACTGATCTTAGTGTTAGTGACGATAATAACATAACAGGGTCAAAACGTGTGAACTTTGCACGTGAATAACACCGTATACAAAAAGCATTAAGGTTCTTTTTATAGTTCTTGGGTGACATCAACTGTCATGATTCCGCCCTACATGATTCCCACATAAAACGGTAAATTTTTAAGAGATTTACTGTATTAATGCACACTTTACATACCCAAGGTGGTCAATACATTACATCGGGCGTCGGAATACCGTTAATTTGGAAGTTTAAAGATACCTGGCGGTATTGAGAAAGTTCACCTTAGACACATGCTAAGCGTAAAGTGATGTCCATGTGTGCAACTCAGTCTAGGAAAATAAAATGTTTGGTATGGACATTTTGCTGAAGATATCCTTTAGAAATAAGACAAATTATAATATGGCACATTACCCCCTGGATGAGTAACATTCACCAACGAACCCCCTGAATATAAGTATCTCCATAATACGATATAATACGACAAGTCCAACACGTGTTATTACATGTGCAATTCCAATGTAGATAATTGCTTGTAATCGGTTGACGAATAATCTTACAGCTTTACTATCGCCATGTGAAGTGCCCTGCAAAAATACACAGCGTACTTGTAGCGCATACTGGCGTCCAAACTAGCGGCTAGGTTCACAACTGTGTGACGCACGTCCTTGAGATTGTACTCTATAGGTTTGTGTACCCCGCCCAAAGCACACAATTATACCATATCACTGGTGAAATCTTCAAACGTGGCGTATGGACTATAAGCTTAAGTCGAGAGGGCTGTTTATAAAACGCCTTTGCCTACAACAAAAGTCTATTGGTGATCTAAAGAAATAAAAGAGATCTTGATTGGCCCCCTGTGTGGTAAATAGTGGATCATGCAAGACAATTTTTCATGGCCAAAAAGCAAATGTTTAACGTCTGGATTTTACGACTAATCTCTTGGCTTTGACGGGTTTCTTTGAAAAGGTCTTAAACGTGGGACCTTGCATGATCAACACATTCCAAGTTGACGTATTGTAGTTGGATGTTGAAGCTACGTGTATAGTTGTGGGTTTTGTCACCATGGATTGAACAGAGTCGTAAGATATAACTAATACTAAGTCATCACAGCCACTGGTTGCGTAATTATGGGTAAGCTTTACCAGAGCATTTACCTTCAATCAGTGACCACAAGTTTGGAGTAGACGCCTGACGGCAAAAGTGCCCATGGCTTAAGGAAAGGTCCCCTTCAATGATTTGAATGGTTTTGCGGTCAAGTTGGGTACAACAAGTGGACTAGGCACCCGCTGCAGTTGTATCTATTCTAACACTACTGTGTGGCCAAAGGGCTAATGAAACGGAGATATGGCGCCGCCCTACATACCGTACAATTTGGAAAGGACTAGCCTAGGCTTTAACAATAATGTTATATCAGCGTCCTTGTTTAACTTGGCAATCAAGTGTTAAAGATGTTCTGAATGATGCACCGTCGGTGTAGGTGTACCGCAAGGATCCCCATTGCATTAGGACCACTGTTGCTTTTACTGTGCATCAATGTGGCAAGATCTCCGTCCACTTTTTCATCATTTTTTTTTTTTGCGAATCATAGTACATAATACTATTGGATACTTTTTATGGTTTTGCAACTTTGATTTTTTAAACTTTAAAGTCTTTCGATCTAATTCTAACCCGATGGATAGACCGTTTCAGAGAAAAATGGAATGGGCTTGATAAAAAAAAAAGGCTAACATAGCCAGTACTATACCTATAACCATTAGATGCAACAATCCTGCTTAGTATGTACATTTTGTAAGTGCGGGAGGCAGTGATTCGACCTTTATACCTATCAGTGAAACGTTTGAAAGGCCCAGACAAGTCTCAAGTACCAATATTTGTCGTTAATACATTCCCAAATATGCATCCAACTCTTTTACAAACAGTAAAACAAAGGAACGAGCTGTTCCAAACACAATACTCACGCCCGCATCTTTCCATACACTCTCCCCAGGTGTTGAACTTGTTGGAGTTCCCCCCGCAGCCACCGTAGGCAAAACTTTTACACTTCTGTTCATCAGTGTCGAAGTAAAACGCCTGATTGAAGTTATCACATGGGCCGGACTCCTTGGGCAGGCTGCAGAAACCTACAGGATAAAAAAAAGAAAAAAAGAAATTGTCATAAAAAGATAACTTTATAAAAGAATGATATCGAATAACCAGAAATTATATATGTTTAAAGTTAAAACTTTTGGTCCAACACAAAAATCTCTCACCTAGAGCTTCCGACCAGTCACTCTGGTCTTCCTCAATAGACTGACCCAGTGAGGCTTGAGAAGTTTTGTGTTGGACCGAAAGTTTTGACTTTTAACATGTAACTACCAACACAGATGAACTTTCATGACAGAAATTATATAATTATTGTCGTCATTTTCTTGGAGGCAATGCCTTTTTGAAACATAAGTGAGAGGTTCCCATGAAAAAATGGACTTACATGTAGCCAGCTGAAATGTTAATGGGATTTCCATTTTTTTCACGTTTTTCCATGTTTTTGTCCACGATTTTTCCATGTTTTTTAAGGTTGCTAGCTGCGACCACAGGTGTGTGAGTTGGCTTCTCAACTGGGCCTTGTTTGAAAACAACCAGCCACTTTAAGAGCAGTCCTCATCAAATATCAAGACAAAGACCTCGCAGATTTCATGGCTTAGAGAGCACCAAAACAACCCACTTAGCTAGACCTAATCACAGAATAGGCCTCTTTTGCTAATCCTAGCCCAAAACTAATGTAGGAAGTAGGAAAGTGTAGGAAGTAGGAATTGTGACCTTCCACCAGCAACACATCTGGTGTGAGTTAGATCAATACAGGACAGAGACCCACATAAATAAGTCTTGCCCAAGTCGTGGTCGAGTGTGGACATCCTTATATAGAAGCCTCTCCAGCATATAAAAATGGTGTCAGCGGTGGGATGTGTCCTAACACACATTGCTACACGATTGTATTCATGTACCCTTGAACACGTGGCTGGGCCTTGTTTTATCCGGTGCCGTGCTTTATCCAGAACCATACTCAGGCAATTCAAGATAGTCCACGTATCCAGAACCGTGCCTGGGGCAAATTGTAGCCTCTACCAGGCACCGCGGATCGCTGGAAAAAATAGTAGAACTTTGCACAAAATCCTTGGGTCTTGCCGGCCAACTCCCCTGGTACATTACTCTTTGTTTTTGCCAAGTTCTACTATTTCAGCGATATCCCAGCGAGATCCATGGTGTCTGGTAGAGGCTAGGTAAATCTACGTTCTTGGATGCGCGGGGGACTATATCTAGAACCGTACCTTGATTATAACTCTAACCCATTCAGACCAAGAACTAAATAGGCACGGTTCTGGATACGATAGGCCTTCGGGCCGTGTTATGTGGTGACAATCAAGGATTAAACCCTTATTGTTGCCCATGACATATATTCTGTACGTAGTTTGCCGCATACATACACTCTGTATGTAGGATGACGTTATTCACACACATATATATTTAGCTTTGTTAGATCTTTAGTTGTAGACGACCATACAAACGTCCCTGTACTTTTGTTGAGTAAATTTCAGGGCAGCAAAACTGTAAATATTATGAATAAGGCAATCTTTGTGATATTGACACGTACTGCTTCACATTAGCACATTTGAGTCAGCATTTCATACTTAGGGCATTTTGAAACTGCAGAAAAAAGCCCCAGAATGAGACCTTTATTTTCTGAGCGGTACCCTAAAAATCAGCTCATGGCCCTTTCTGTAACCATTTTCCGTCAGAATTTTGGGAATTTTTGCTCTATGAGGGTCAATATACATTAGGATAGTGGGGTTTCAACTTAGTATGTAGATAAATGAATAGGGATTGGCTTAAAAAAATTGAGTTTCCAAGCCCTAAAAGCTGCATGCACTGGATGCCTTTAACTAGAAAATCTCACCTGCGAGGAGTGCAGAGCTGACTGCTAAGTTGCATACGACAAAAACGAGCACGGCCGAAGTCTTCATCCTGTGCTGTTCACGAGAACGTTGTCGCTTGGGCAAAAGTCAAGACGTAGAGTGTAGTGAAGCACTTCTTGCACAGGCAGGGCAGGGCTGCGTTTGATATGAGTGTTCTACGTTCAAATAGATATTAGCGTGGACCGTACCAAGTCAACCATCCTGTCGAAAATGCGCATACAAAGCAGAAAATGAACTCAAATGCAGATGACACATATTTTGTAATTGTACATCTAAAGTTAAGTAATTGATATATTTTAACGCTTTTAAAACTTATTATCTAATTAATTTTTAAAAAGTACGTATTCTTGCTATCATACCAATAGATCATGGATTGGTATGACCCAGTCAATATTGTTCATCACATTGGATAATGATTTACCGGTGTTTAATTGTAGTCTCCTTGGATCCAGTTCGTGTTGTGTGAAGTTTGCGCCAAACTCTGGACAATACTGCATTAACGCTCCACAACAGTCGCTATTTATACCGTACTGTTTATCCGGGTCATCTGTAGACGCCCATCACAAAATAACACCTGTACAAGCCCACACACGGTTGGCATGGCAACCATGGAAGCTATGACGCAAATCGCCATCTTGTTTTTCAGTGTTCTTGAAAAGGTTGGCCCCGGAGGGTATCAACATTCTTGTTGGAAGGCTTTTTAGTTTACCAACGATAAAATGTGCCAATTTTACCCGGGCGATTCCATTTTGCACAAACGAAACCATACAGTCTGTCCATTTTTTTCCAAATATAGATTATTTCCGCTCTTCCGTTTTTATTTACTTTAAAGGCCATACATCGAGTCTCAGCTGTCATGTACTATATTTATAGCGATTGTAATTATTCTTACAAAATTATAAATAAAAATATTTCTTCGCACATACCCCCTACTAAGAAGAATGGGATAGTCTAAAAAGCATACAGAATAACGGTTTCTAGTTTGAACTTCATATACATCAAAATGAAGTCACTGATAGAGTATGACTGAACAAAAACAAGTTCATTAATTATATTATTTGTGTTCTGCTATGTCGCTGTTGTCTACACGTGTCAATTCTAATAAAAGAAACCACATATTACCTGTACATGCCGGTTTGGGCACACCGCAACTTAAGAGAACATATATAGAAACGAAAAATAGTAAATGGAACTATATATCTATACATTATAACAATGTACGTGCAAACAACCACTACAAGCTGAGATACGAATGAGTGACAAGATATTTACAACGCTAAACAAGTTTCATAGACAAAAAAATTGAGTTTTTTTGTTACATTTTGTTGTCTGTGTTTTGTTGTCCGACCTCAGAGAACATATATAGAAACGAAAAATAGTAAATGGAACTATATATCTATACATTATACTGTTATAAACAACGTACGCCCAAACAACCACTATCAGCTGAGATACCAAAGAGACACATAGACAAAAAAAAAGATTTTTCGTAACATTTTGTTGTCTGTGTTTTGTTGTCCAATTTTTAAGTCGTATTCTTACATGTTGCACCATATTCCAATTATAAAATCAAGGGACGTTGGCATAAATTTTTGTTGTCTAGTAAAAATGGGATCTAACGGAAAATTGCAAGGAATGAGATATGATAAATAAGATAATAGTAAAGTGTCTTTCCCAACATGCTTTTCACATGCTTGATTATATATGGGTAGGATTCGAACCCGGGACCTCTTGATGCTGAGCCGAACACGCTACCGTTCACGCCACAAAACCCTAGCCTCTACCAGACTTCTGGGAGCGGTTGAAAAGAGTAGAAATCTGCCAAATAGAGAGATAACATGCTAGGGGAGTTTGCTGGGGGAGAACATCGGGTGCGGCGAAATGTTCTCTGATGGACAAAATGTTCTCTCCCAGCAGACAAACTCCCCTGGCATGTTATCTCTCTATTTGGCAGATTTCTACTCTTTTCAGCCGCCTCCCGAAGCCTGGTAGAGGCTAACACACACGCGTACGACCCCAACGTTGACTACAATGTCAAGGGCAGAAACGTATAGAGTAAATCAAATCTTTATTTAACCTTCTTGTTTCTCCACACAAAACGTCAACCAACTAAACTGATACTTCCCGGCAAAACATGTTTACGAGGCATAAGTCATAACTTTGCTTAGTAAGCTGGTTTCTGGCTTTTCAATGGTGCATGTGAACTTCAATGTTGTGAATTGTGGGGTTGTGTTACTCTCCAAGCAGAGGTTCTGGGGGAATGATCGTTACCTTTTTATATATGGCCGTTTTTTTTGTCTTGATCCCCACCCGTCGGTGGCCGGGGACCTTCTCTGGCTAATGGATACTATACCTGGCCAATTTGATACTGTCTTTTTGCCACCGAGAGGGATCTGCTTGGAGATTAGGGTTGTGTGGCGTAGCGGCAGCGTGCTCGACTTGAAACCAAGAGGTGCCACTGATCTTTTGCCCTTGGGAAAGGCACTTTATGAGTATTGTCTTCTCCTGTATTCGTCCTCTGTGTTGGCGGCATAAAATAAGCTGATACAACTTGAGTGTGCTGTCACCATGTATAGTCATGAAATGTCGGAATGTAAAAAATGTTGTAAATACATCATAAGGTAGCAGAAGGGTTTACTCAAAAGCCAAACCTTTCTGTAAACATTATTACAGTAGACAGGTGGACACTATAGACAAGATTCTAAATGCTTGGGGTGATGGGGATTCGAACCCAGAACCTTCAGATTCTGAGTGAACAACCCTAACCATAAGACCACCTTGCCACATTCGATTCCAACTTACTTCCCTCCGGAGCAAAAAAACCGCATAACTGCTTTCACTGAAGAAAAGTAGAAGCTTGTCCTCTCTCTTCATGTTATACTAACAAAGCTCTATACAACATTTAATAGAAAGATTTTCTAAAGGCACCAATAGCCTTTTTTCAACAGAAATTTAAAAATAGCGGCGTGGCTGTGGCCAACAGGGTTTGCTGGAATTTTTAATAAAGACCTGTGATGTTTAGGATCGGAATTCTCCTCAAATTCTACTTAGATTAATAAATAAGCTGGGTGTTTGGATATCCAGGATTTGTATATAGTGGGATGCAGGACATATCGCTAGTAGCAACGTATGATAGACTAACCCCACATACTACAGGCTATAAGTACAGGTAATGGCTATGAAAAAAATGTCGCGTTTCCTGTTTCCCAACCGACTCTAGAAAAAAATGCCGACCCTATAGCTAGCCTTTTTTTGTGGAACATAAATTTTTTTGAGCCGATCGACTTTTTTTAGCTCCATGATCTGACACCTGAGTCATAAAACATTGTACAGTCAGTTTTCAACATTGACATTGAAAATATATAAGTGCCCTCATGCAAGTTTTACTTAAATCTATTAAACTGTATTGTATAAGTTGGATCACAAGAGATTGCCAAAAAAAAGAAAAAAATCCCTGCCGACCGACCATAATTTTTTCAGAACTGAAACAGGAAACACAACATTTTTTCGCTGCTCCAAGAAGTCTGCGGAAGGAGGCTACCGACGCCTACTCTCCCCCCGTATCTGCTTGGAGATTAGGATCGGCATTTTTTTCTAATAAAGAAGATCATTGAACAACAACAGAGCCAACAGCAGTCATCTATAGGAGCCCTCCTACCAAACAGCGCGGCCTTTCAAGCCCGAAATGTCACCCATACATTACCGTCCCGGGTACAAACACTAGCGGACTATGGCATGAATTATGGAACGGCGCACTCCAGCGGAGCGGAATGAATACACGCACAATACGCCAGCCTTTGCACAATCTCCTGCGCTCGGCCTGAGCAAATGCTACGCCAAAGGTCGATCCCTCTCTCCGTTCAGGACCTCTGACAGAAAGACGTATTTCTCTTTAAAAGCCCATTCGCGGTCGTGGCTGTGTTTTGTGTGGCGTGAAATACGGTACGTTGTGTACGTGAGTTCCACCGTGAGAGAGAGATTTGAGACACAGCTATATAGATGCTCACATACCGAGCTAGAGTCAGAGGTAGCAGTGTATCTGTGTCTCTCTTTATACATCTCCAAGACAACCGTATGTGATCGTCTTGAGTCCCAGAAGGTCAGAGCTTGACGTCTTGAGGAAATCACTGCTATCCAAGACTCGTGATATCGACTGTGAGTCGATCGAGGCGACCCAATACAGTGTAGTGCAAGCAGACGCCATTGGTAAAATCTCAACGCTAGGCAGGGGCTTATCCAACACTGAGCACTGCTAGCTCCATCTCCCTTCACGTGGGTACTCAGCAAACGAAAACCACCTTTCGTAAGGTAAGAAATTCATTCTATACATCTGTGGTTTTCTTGTAAATAGTCTAATTGTTTGGAGGATGCAGCCAGCATGCTACAGTCAATGGTCATGGGGGAGGGTACGGTGGTCCATATATTGGCATCAATACTCCAAAAGCAGCGCTGCCTCTCTATATACCCACCGGGCCATGTGTACTGGGTATTTGCGGATCGATGTCTGGATATAGTAGGTGGGGTGAAAGACCTTTTCCCGCCCTATAGACTATCTTGGATTGATGTATTCCGTATGTAGAGGCGGTGTGGTGAAAAACAGCGATAAGAACAAAAGTACGAAACACAGAGGGGTTCAGAAAAGGGTTGCTGCGATTTGAGAAGAGACATCGTGAGTTATTTCCTTGTATGTACGTGGGGAGAGAGCGAATGTACGTACGCCACTGTTCACAGTATACCCAGAACCTTGCTTTATCCAAAACCATGCTCGGACACGATTCTGGATAGTCCAAGCGTATCCAGAACAGTGTCTGGTGCACATCTACGTTTTCTTGAATGCTTGAAGACTATCTAAAACCTTGCCTAACCCAGTCAGGCATAGAACTAGCTAGGCACGAATACGATGTTCACTGGTCCTTTATCCAAACCATTGTCAGACCAAACCAGGGTTTTGGATAGCCCAAGCGTATCCAGAACCATGTCTGGTTCAAATCTACGTTCTTGGATACGTGAAGACTATCTGTAACTGTGTCTAACCCTAACCAGGGAATAGACCTAGCTATGCACGGATACTATGGTCGCTTGTATCGGTATGCAAGTTCCGTTTGCCACAGAAGTGATGTATTGTACATGTCGTACTGTGGCTTATTTGTGCACATGATCTATTGATGGAAGTAAAACACTAATTCTGCCAGTAAAACACTCTACTGTCCCAGATAAGGTGAAGTGATCTTCACTACCCCGAACCATCCAAGCTGAACACTCGGCGCAATGATTGCGTCTCCTCTCTAATTACCATGGTAACGACCCGCCCTAAATCCTCCCGGTGTAAAATTGAGGTCACATTTCCCAATTTGTCGCCTGGTGGCTGCACGATAGCCTCTACCAGGCTTCTGAGGGGGCTGGAAAGAGTAGAAATTGGCCAAATAGAGAGAGATAACATTCCGGGTTGCTATATAGCAAACTGTACTTTCTAGCGGACCAACTCCCCCGGCAATTGTTATGATTCTCTATCTGACCAATTTCTACTCTTTCCAGCCGCCTCCCGAAGCCTGGTAGAGGCTAGGCACACTTCTTTCTTACACACAAGCCGGGCCGAAATCTCAATGCAATTTCAGGGCGGCAAAAACGGAATTTTCAAAGTCAATTTTCTAGTCAGTCTTTTAAATGTGTAGTAAGTTGAATCAACCCTATACCATAGCATACAGATATCTGTAAGGCAAAAATGCGATGTCGCTGACGGAAATGGTTGCTTGTTTTGTATCGTAGCCTGGTTCTAGCAAGGAGGTTAACCTAATCCTATTTGGTTAACGTTCTAGCTAGCAGTTTATTGGTTGTGCCAAAAGATAAAGGAACGTTGCTTATTTTGGGACTGTGTCAAACGCGTCAGTGACAATGATGACGACAAAAATGTGTTCAGAAATGATGACAAAAATGTGCTAAGAAATGGCAGTAAATGTCAAAATTACACGGATTTCCTCATCTAGAATATTTCTTCTACTGTTCCAAAAATGGCATTGGATGCCTTTAAACATTAGTCGTTGCAGCCTTCCACAAGGGTTGATAGGGAAACAATTAATTCAATAAACCTGTCCAGTCCTTTATTATACAATATGTTAGACAATGCTGGTAGGATGCGGTATATGACATGATTTGTAGCGTGATCAAATTCTAATGTTCATTTTGTACCGATCGGATAAAATGGTTTATCGATATCATTACACTGGTAAACCATTCTCATTGATCGAGTCCTGAATTATGGAGAAGTCTGGTAGAAAATGGTGAAACAAAACCATTACTTGCTGCAAGAAGACAAATCTAACGCTTTACATGGCATTACTGTAATGGTAATGGCCGTAGTTATGCGCCCTGGTCAATACAATTCATTTACGTTATCAAGGGACTAACCGTTAATATCCATAGGGAGGGGGGATGCATGAAAATGCTGTTTTTTTATTTGTTTGTCACTATTTTCTTTGCTATGTCATTCCTGATCGACCTCGAATGAATTTAAAAAAAATGTTTTAACATTGCATTGCGATGAAAAAATTATAGTAGGCAGGTACAATGAGAAAACGATGGTAGACACATAGAATGGACACCTAGACACGTAAAACAGGTTTACAAATGATGGCAGACACATATAATTAATACAGTATAAAAGATCATCAGTTCGTAATGTATAGAAAAAATGTATTACGTTAGCAGAGAAACCTGAGAATCATACAACTTCAATTTCCACTTAAGGGGCCTTGCATAATGATGAGGTGATGATTGTGGATTGACTAAACGTGGAGGAAACAATGCTCATTATGAACCCCCCTTAGGGAGCCTCCTATAGAAATTTGAACGTCCATTGTTTGTAAAACTCGGCCATTTTGAAGGAAATCTCGCTATGATGATTCCAATTAATTGGTTTTTCATGCTATAGCGCGAGGTAAATGAGCCGTTGAAATGCCGGTGGGAGTTAATCATCATGGGAAACATAATGTGCGACCATATGGCCTTTTATTTGCGAAGGGAATTGTTCTGGGAATATGCTCGTTCTCGGAATATGCTTTACCTATCTATACATATTATGTGTGGAGTGTGAAACGCACATTCAATATGTAGCGACACAGACATAAAAATGCTGAAGTATGTTAATAACTCAATTTTGGTGCAATTTTTTCTCACTATTTAAATTAATTGTTTTAATTTCATTTACACCACCTCTTTAATACAAGAAAGATAGATAAAGATATTGATATAGATATATCAATAATTGCACAACATGTCCCTTGTATATACCATGTACAGGTAGAGCATAACACTCGAACACTAACACCAGAGCAAAGCAAGACACATGTAATAGCACGTTCATACAATCTTTCATACGTTCTTAAAAATTGTGATATTTACAAAAAAATACTCTGCAACGACCACAGGAGAGTAATAACCGTTATATAACGGTCACGTCGATGGCGTTTAAATGTTCAAATGCCGCAGGCGGTGGAGCCAACCCCCAAGTTTAATTCTCCCCATCAATTCCCCCATGTTGTTAAGTCCCTGGATGGGCGCCGTGAACCTTTCTTTATTGCGTAGATTGAATTCTGTGGAGGTATTTGCCGGAATTTGTGTTCAAAGTAACGCCTTGGTGATGGAAAATATCGATTGATGAAGCCAGGGGAAGCGCACACCACAAGAGTGCTTAATCTGTATGCTTCCTAAGATTGCAAAATTTAGGAAGCACGCGGCTAAAATATGCAAACAGAAGGTTCGCTTTCTGTCTATCTATAAAAAAAGGACATTTTTTTTATTTCTCAGTTATTTTAGCTTCCTAAAACCTACTTGTGGAAGTTTTAGATATATATTTATAGCTAAAATTTAATAGCTAAAATCTTTTCTAAAATTTTTTTTTAATCGTTTTATCTTCGTCTCAGTTTACATATTTTTTTTCATGCAATAATCCAATTTTTTGTGTCGTATTGATTGTAATTCTCTAGCAGATCAGACTCGATTCATTTTAGCTATTTTTTTGCAATGGACATTCCCCGATGTATGTATGGATTATGATGTTAATTGTCGATCATCTGTACATACCACTGCGTTTGTTGCAACATCTTTAACATGAATGGTCTTCAATCCTCTTGACAGTTACATTGTTTGGTGACAAAGAAAAATGACTGGTACTCCTAAAAACTAATTTTGTTTGTTTGTTATTCTAACTCAG